AAACAAAAAAATCTCCACACCACAAGCCAGGCAAACACCTGGGCACAGACAGATCCCCCCCGATACCTCCAGCTCAAACACATCCCAACCAGGCACCCAGATGAAACCTAGCTTTTTAACTAATGATAGCCATCCATTTACCTGGAGCCAAGCTGCACTAAAGGCCTCCAATAAAGTAACAGAATGTTGCCAGCCAATCAAGATACAAAAAGAGCCAAAAAACAGACAGAAGATATTACAAACACCAATCAAGCAGAACACAGCAAACTCCAAGACCAATAAACACAGACTAAGACTCCCAACTAATCAGGGTGAAGAAAAAACCATTCTGGCACATCAGTAGGCTAGCCCCAAATTTAAAACTGAAACAACTGTAAAAGTCTAACTCACAGACGAACACCATACAGAAGCCTGATGATGGCAGATGAGATTCTGCCAAAACGTTGCTACAACTTTTAAAAGCACAACTACCATGACGTGGGAAAATACCCGAACAAAGCTGAATGCCATACATGTAAGTACCCGTGAAAACTTAAGAAAAATTATATATATATATATATATGGAAAAGGAAAAGAGAGGGGAATACAAATTAGAGAAATTAATTATCACCCTCCAAGCCAATTTCTATATAAAATAATCAATCAATATTAATCTCTTATTATTTAAGTATATAAGATAAATTTATATAAAATAAAGCTATCTAAATCCAATAAATTCAAAAGAAGAATAGAAACTTCAGGAGGGAGAGGGGTAAAAGATCTCTTAATATCTTACTATTACCTTAATATTCTAGTAATAAATAAATAAATCTATTCAAATATTAGATACATTGTAGGAACAATAAATATAATAAATATTTATCTGATTTATTTTATATCAGTTTCATTCCCTTTTCAGTTCTATTAGTCACTTCCAGTTACGTTGATACAATCTACCATAGTTTGCCACTCTCAATGGCCACCTCCAGAGTTTGCACTGTCACTCTTCAAGGCTTTCTTAAAATTCTGTCCAGATCCCTTTCTCGGACAGAGTAAATTCAGCGGTCTCACTTCAAACAGCTAATAACAGAAGGCTCTTTCCAGCAATATCCACTTGCCTCTCCTTCTCAGTTTTCTTTTTAAAATCGTATTTCCACTGTTTCCCAGCATTGGAGGTGGGAAGCTAGATCTCTGCCACCACTTTTCACCTCCACCCCTTTCATTCTGAGTTTCAGTGATACAAGCAGTTCTTCTTCAAGCAGTTCTCCAGTTGTAATCCACAAAACGTTTCTAAATACTGGTAGCTTGCCAAATCTCAATTCACTATCTCCTCATTGCTTCCTTCTTTGATGACTCATCACTTCCTTGGGTTTGCCTGCAATGGGCTGATTTCTTTTGCCTCGGACTTAGGGTCCTGTTCTTTGCTGTTTCGGGATCGCAACTCTCGATTAGACTCCAAGAGACTCCTTACTTTGGTGATCCCTCCGGGATCTGACCACATCACAAACGGCTATCCAAAGGTAAAAAACCTGATGCAGGAGAGCAGAGCAAAGTTCTCCTGCACCACCACGACATGACGTCACCGGAAACCTCTTTCTGGATTTTTGGATACTTGCCTTACTCCTTCGATTCCTGGACTCCTTGACTTACCCTGCTGGATTTCATGCTTTGCAGCCATGGTGCTCGCAGCATTGGGCTAGACTATTTGCAGCCAGAGGCTGCTTGAGGTGTGTGTGTGAGAGAGAGGAGAGAGGGAGAGAGAGAGAGTATGTGTGTGTGTGTGTTTGTGATTACTTTGCTCTGGGACTTGCCAAAAATGTAAGAGCATTTGGGGAAATTTGGAGCAATAAAGGGGCAGTTTGAACTGCCAGCTGCCTGTATTACCACTGTGCCATGTCCTGGGTCATCACACTGCTACATTTTTAACTGACACCTAATCTGTAATAGATACAGGTAGTCCTCAATGTGACCACAATGGAGTCCAAAATTTATGTTCCTAAGTGAGAAATTCTTTAAGTGAGGTTTGCCCCATTATACAGACTTTCTTTCTTTCTTTCTTTCTTTCTTTCTTTCTTTCTTTCTTTCTTTCTTTCTTTCTTTCTTTCTTTCTTTCTTTCTTTCTTTCTTTCTTTCTTTCTTTCTTTCTTTTTTAGTCAAACAATATAATAGAAATAAGAATAAACATAAGTTTAAATACATGAAATAGGAACCAATAATTGGGGACAATAGGACAGGCATGGTAGGCATGATAGTGTGCTTATGCACGCCCCTTACAGACCTCTTAGGAATGGGGTGAGGTTGATAGAGGTTAGTTTGAGGGTAAAGAAGTGGGGGTTTGAGCATGTGACAACAGAATCAGGTATTGAGTTCCAGACATTGACCACTCTCTTGGTGAAATCGTACTTCCCGCAATCAAGTTTGGAGTGGTTTACATTTAGTTTATATCTGTTGTATGCTCTTGTTTTGTTGTGGTTAAAGCTGAAATATTCAATGGGTAAGACATTGTAACATATGATTTTATGGACTATGCTTAAGTCCAATCTTAGCTGGTATAGTTCAAGGTTGTCTAAGCTAGAATCTCAAGTCTGGTGGTGTAGAGTATTCTGTTGTGAACAGAGGAGTGTAGTACTCTTCTTGTAAAATACTTCTGGACTCACTCAATTGTATTAATGTCTGATATACAATGTGGATTCCAGACAGTGGAGCTGTATTCAAGTATTGGTCTAGCAAAGGTTATATATGCCCTAATTTGCAATCAGTATTACCAGAAGAGAAGCTTTGTAAGATCAGATTTAAAACTCCTAAAGCCTTTTTTGCAATGTTGTTGCAGTGAGCTCTGGCACTTAGGTCATTCAATATGAGAACTCCAAGGTCTCTGACAGAGTGAGGTCATCAGTGAGGTCATATCTGCTTAGCTTGTATTTAGTGTATTGATATTTTTTACCAATGTGTAGGACAGAGCATATGTTGCTTGAGATTTGGAGTTGCCAACTGTTTGACCATTCAGACACATAATCAAGGTCTCTTTGAAGGACGGTAGCATTGTCAGTGGTGTTGAATAGTTTTACATCATCAGTGAAGATGACGCAGTTACTTATAAGGTGATCACAAAGGTCATTTATATAGAGTATAAAAGAGTATGGGTCCTAGAACGCTGACTTGGGGGACACCACTGTTAACTGGAACAGTGTTTGACAGGGCATTTCCTATTTTTATTATTTGTTGTTTGTTTGACAGGAAGGTAGCACATTCTTGACACATTTGTTAAGTAAATCACTTCAGTTCTTAAATTAGTAACACAGTTGTTAAGTGAATCATGTTTCCCCATTGACTTTGCTTGTCAGAAGGTTACAAAAGTGGATCTTATGACTCTAGGACACTGCATCCTTCATAAATAGGAGCTAGTTTTCAAGCACCCAAAAATTGATCATGTGACCATGGGGATGCAAAGGTCATAAGCAGGGGTGGGATTCATTTTTTTTAACAACCGGTCCTGTGGGCATGGCTTAGTTAGTGGGTATGGCCAACTCAACATCACTCATGTCAAGGGGCACTTCTCCTTGCCTGGTCTCTCATGACACTGGGGATGCTGCAACAGTCATAAGTGTGAAAAATGGTCATATATCATTTTTTTTCAGTGCCATTGTAACTTTGAATGGTCACTAAATGAACTGTTGTAAGTCAAGGGTTACCTGTACAAAAATACAAAAAGCTTCTTTGCTTGCAAAAAGATACCATACCAATCATTAGATTAAAAATACCTGCAAGCAGAGTTACAAATCAGGCAGGGTGCCAGAGCACCTTGAGGAATGAAAATAGTTAAAATTCAGTGATAACTATCAAGCAGCCATCTCTTGGTGATAGTGAAACCCTTTAGCAGAGAGGTCATTTAAGCTCTCGAGAAAGAGTACACCCAGGAAAAACATTCCTTAGATCCATTTGACCACTTAAAGATACCAGCTGGTCTCACTCACCTCACAAGATATCCTAAGGAAATCACCCAGATTTAAGGAAAGGTCACATGCCCACCAGAAAGGCAATAAAAACAATCAGTGCCAAACAATCAGTATACCCCCAAAGGACAGTGCCAGATAATACTAAAGCAGTGAGGAGGACACCTTCCCCAGATAGAAAAAGAAACCATGAGGCAGGAAAAAATTCAAACACAATACAAAGAATTAAATCATAACAGTAGCTGTTGCTTGTTGAAGCTGAACAGAGAAAATTATCCCATCAATAAACACAGGATTAAACATCACCAAGCACAGTATTAACCTTCACCAAAAACCAGTTTTAGACCAAAACTCAGAAAGAGTATGTAAACTCATGTTTGAATGTCAATTTTTCTCGCTAGCCAAGAAGCCTTGCTGAATGTCACTCATCTTGGTTCCCTGTCATTAAAAGCTTTGCTTCATTATTCAATTATTTCTTCAAAGTAGTGATTGTCCAGGGAAGTATTACCTCCCAACAGCAGTGTAAAAAGCTTAAAACAACCCTTCCCCTTTAAGAAAGTCAAGCCCCAGAAGCTCTAGAGACAGGAAGTCTAGGCGTACTGGCAAAAATGTAATAAGGGTGGAAAAAAACAAAAGGAGATTGCTTCTAACTACCGTTTCTCCAAACTGCTTAGAAAGTTAACAAGGAGTTCTATAAAACCGGACAGAACCAATAGAATCCTACCCCTGGTCATAAGTGTGAAAAATGGTCCTAAGTAACTTTTTTCAGTGCTGTTATAACTCCGAATGGTCATTAAATGATCTGTTGTAAGTTGAGGGCTTCCTGTACAAAGCAGTGAAGTACCACATGTTCCTCTCTATCCTGAAGACACCCATGCCTGTTATACTCTGTATGGAAGAATAACAGTTCTATTCCCTTTAAAAAAGGATTAAGAAATTGAACATTTCTCCATAAATAATAAAACATAAGATTTGAAATAATATGAATAATGGGGAAAAAGGAAATAATAATCCATTCCTCTGATCATCATACCATAGGACAGGGGTGGGCAAACTTTTTGGCTCGGGGGCCTCATTGACTTTTAAAATTTGACAGACGGGCCGCCACCTGGTGTCGAAATGCCTGTCATTACAAGTCAAAATCAAATGAATGCAATCATTCAATCATTCACATCAAATCTTAATTCTGTACCAATCTTCGGCGGGCCAGATTAAAAAGACCAATGGGCTGGAAGTGGCCCGCGGGCCGTAGTTTGCCCACCCCTGCCATAGGATATGGTAAACAGCTAAAATCTTATTTGCAATGTGCTTGACTCTGAATGACTGTGTTATTTTCTTGGCAGCAACAAGAAACAATCTACTTATAGGATGTTTCCCCCCCCCAACTAAACTAGCCTACAGTCCTGTTACACCCTAGTGATCTTCTAAGTACTAAGTATATCCAACTGGGCTTAGCTTTTTCAAGCTCAGCAAAGGTTGGCTAGGTGCTGCCAGCTAGATATTGATGCCTCTACAGGGGAGGTCATTGAGAATAACTAAAATTGTGGTTCCTAACTTTTCCGAAGTTTCATAGGAGCTATCCAGACCAGAATTTGAAAATCAATGACCCATTCACTGGATGCAAATGATAGCACATTCCCAGGACAAAAGGAAAATAAGCTGACTACACAGAGTTAGGAAAAAAATTTGTGCTCTGATAAATGGTATAGATAGGATTTTCAAGAGTATTTCTATGTGGGAAAATGGTATGAATGAGGGAACAAAAATTACACAGATGTCTAGAGACCTATATGTGAGAGGAAGAAAATAAAACAACAGAGTCATGATTAAATAAGAAAGGAAAGAAGACAGAATATTTGGGTTCCCTAGACATGTCTATAACTAATGTATGAACCCCAAATGTGGCCTAGGGGGAAAACAGAACTATTTTTTATCATGGACTGGAGCATGTAAAAGACCAATTTCTTCATAAAGTTTAAGGACCATAGTAAAGTTTTTATCATCAATTCAAAAGGATTTGTAGTTATGGACCATACAGATAGCCTCATTTAGTGAATACCTCATTTAGCAACCATTTGCAGATGAAGCAGGCTAGCCACATCCAGTTTCCTCCGAGGTGTAAGAACATGCACAGCCAGGTTGTTTGGCTACATCCTTATCTTTCAAGGATTTGCCAACATCCAGCTACTTTAGCCTGCCTGCCCCATTCTTATTCTCAATATAAAAAGGGACAAACTAACCCAGAGGTTGTCCCAAAGGTGCTTTTTTCAAGAGACAAATTGACTTTCTGGTTTTTCTTTGAAGATGTTTTGCTTCTCATCCAAGAAGCTTCTTCAGCTCTGACAACCACTTCCTAAACATGGCACAACGTAGGAGAACAAACACATCAGGACAAGATTCAGCAGCATTTAAAAGACACAGGGCACTCTTTTGAAGACAACAAAGTCCATATTTTGCACAGAGAGGATCACTGGTTTGAAAGAGGAGCTAAAGAGGCTACATCAAAATTGAACAGCCCTCTCTCAACTGAGGGGGAGGGATACAACACCATCTATCTCCAATCTACAACACAGTCCTTTCAACAGTTCCAACAAGACTCTACACCAATTTGCACCACTCAGGTGACCCTAATGACACAAATAAACCTCCAGGTGACCATAATGACTCATTAAAAGAATGCAAATGTCCAGCTGTCTGCAAGGAGTATAAATCCTTCCATTTCCCACCATCCAGTCAGAGCTGAAGACGTTTCTTGGATGAGAAGTGAAACGTCTTCAAAGAAAAACCAGAAAGTCCAGTTGCCTCTTGAAAAAAAGCACCTTTGGAGAACCATTGTCAGCTATGGAATTCATCACTGCCACATAGTTGAAGAAAGTGGGAGGGAGTGATGTTAATTGAGTAGCTCTCAGTAGACAAAATATATTATTTTGATAGTTCAAGGTTACAGAGTGTGGCGCAGAAAGAATTAGAATTTACTTTGGGATTGGTGCATGTGATCTGGTGATGAAGGAAAAGGGGATGGGTTGTAGCTTGGGACTTTGTTGGGAAGCCAGGAAGATTTAGTTCTGGATTTCCCCATTATGTGCCAGGTACTGTTCTAATAAAGTACTTTGAGATGCCTTGGAGTTACTGACAGGAATGGATTTTCCCTGGAACGCTGACAACCATGACCTGGGTGACTAATAATCTCCATAGACATTTAGCCCAGAGGTTATGTTAGGGATTGTGAAGAGAAGAAAAGAAGACAATGGAATGAGGGACTGGGAAACAATGACTAAGTATCTTTAACAGTGAAAGGAAGCCAGAAAGATGCTGTTGTAGTAGCAACTATTATTAAGAGCCCCCTGTAAAGCCAGTGAAAGGTAATAACCATAGCTCTATCATCTGGCTGCTAGAATCAGCCACAATACTAGATGACCTATAAAGTCCCTTCCAACTCTGTTAAACTGTAATCTATCAGCTTCTTCCTTGGAGTTCAGCTTGTTAGTTCAGTTTGACATTCAGCAGCAACTCTACTTGAAACTTGACCGCACCTCTGCCCTGCAATTGCATCTGTACATAAGGAGCAACCAAGTTGAGGCTCCACAAAATTCCCAATGTGGCCAAACTACTAGGAGGGTTACAGTGGATGCTGCTTTAAGCCATAAGAAACAGGTAGAAAAGGCTTGTGCTGTAAACCCAAGGGATCCCTCGGTTACTAGGCCAGCTCATTTGAACAGGAAAGGTAAAGCTAACCATCTAGCCTTAGCAAAGGTCTTGTTTTGGGGAAAGTGTGAAATGAAATAACGCCCTAGTCCATCCAGCCACAGACAAAAGAACCTTTCCCCCAAATCAGTCACAGCCAAAAGAACCTTTCCCCAAAAATTGACCAAAGCAGCCTTGAGATGGGAGAGGTTACACTTAGAAGATGCTCTTCTATTGGAAGATTGCACTTACTTTCTAAACATTTTGTGGCACTTAAATTGCTACATAGTTAGATGTCAGAAAGAAGCCCTATCAGAGTTCAGTGCTACTGTGAATACTCCAGGGTTTTAAAAAGTATAGGTAAAAACAAAAAAGATAGAAGATCTAGAACCGTTAGAACGTTTAGAAAGAAAATAAATAAATCCCTCACTGGACTTAACAAGGAGTTCTTGTCCTAGGGAAGGGTAGTCACTAATCAACCTGTATTCTGGTTACAGTTCATTCCACCAGTGAACAGTACATTGAAACTCAGCCCAATGAAATGCTCAAATCTGCCCTCAGTAGGATTCACTATCTAATTTTCTTAACAATCATAAGCCAGTCTCACTGTAGTCAGCCTCTTGGTCAATTTGGTGAACCTAAAATACTCATTTCAGTGTTTCTTTGAGGAGCTGTGTTGCTGCGTTGTAACAGAAATAAATGCATCATCAAGGCTTCTCTATCCTTCTTTCAAAGAACAGAAGATACGCTTCGCCATTACCTGACAAGATGCCAGTCTGCCTGCTTGATGGCAACATTAAGGGAAGAATCCATGGCAAGAAATAAATCCATCATTTATGCAAATGGTCTGGTAGATGTTTGTCAGAGCTTTCTTCATTAAGCTGGTTTATGCTGAGCTGATATATCAGATGAAATGGCATAGGCACACCTTTCCACAGTGGCAATTTTCTTGCTTTCAAACCATAGCAGGTGCTTAATGAATGTAAAATGAGGATCAGAAAATGTACTAAGAATGAACATGAGCTGAATGGTAGCTGCTATTCATAGGCCAAAGGATGAGAACACAATGGGATGAGATCAGATTGAGGAAGCTGTCAGATAAGACCCAGTTATTTGGATAATAGCTGCAGCTAGTATTTAAGTAGCGGTAACTGGGTGGAATAAACTATGGCAAGTCACAAAGCAGGTTATTTTAATTCATGGACCAATGAAGTAAGCAATGTAACAGGCTTCTATTCATAGTTTGTAATATGTACACCCAAAATAGCATTGTACTATATTTTATTCAAAGACTCACTGATGCATATACATCTCTCTCTTTCTCATGTTTTGTATTATACATACACACACCTGTATGAGGAATAAATAGGTCAATGGCACCCATCTTGATGTGGTTCTTCGATTTGTGAAAATAGGAAAGCATATTTGGGATAATACAATTGAAAGAACCATTATATTTTTATAAATGCAGGAGGAGTCTTGAAGCATCCCATCATCTATCTATCTATCTATCTATCTATCTATCTATCTATCTATCTATC